AAATGTCACTCATTCAAAGGGAAGTGTTAACAGCAGACTCAGACCATGGGGTAATAAAGAGGAAACTATTCAGCAGAGACAGAAACCACACATCAACTGCCTGTAAAAGACGAACATGGCCAGCAAATACAAGCGACTCGGCAAGTACATTTAAAAAGAGCAATCTATAATATTAGTGTTAATTAAACAGTAATAGAACTCAAGACTCACTTTATCTTTCTTAGGTTTTATCTTTATTTGATCTATTCCTCTCACTGGTTTCCTTTGTTTTTACAAAAGTTGACGTTTTTGTGTAGTTGTTATTGTAAAGCAGATTGTACAATATGATCTAAATACATGAGCAAAATGACCAACGTAAACATTAATCGACCAATGTATAAAAAAAACCTTGATGGCAGCAGTTTGTAGATGACACGAGAAGTAAACACAATTTTAACACTTTTGAGAGAAAAACGAAGGGAAGGTTTCAGTTTCGGTTTTTGCAGCTTCTTCTGTTTTCTTGTTTGTGGCTTTTGTTTCATTGATTGATATGTAGGTAGAGGACGTACAGTGCAGGAAACATCTGTAGCTTCTCTTATCATCAGCAGATTAATGCTTAAACGATCAGATCAACTTTTCTGGCAAGGAAACATGGTGTTTTTTTAGTGACAGATGTAGCAGCTCCATTTCCTGAACCACTTTGTTGTACAATAAATTAAGTATATTTAATGAGGTCATAGAAAACATTTACCTTGATACTGTAAGTAATGTAAAAAAAAATAAGATGTCAGTGGGAAGGCCACACGAGCCTCGCTCTTCTTCAACCACTCTTTGCCTTTTTCATCTCACCTCTCATAGCACATGATCAAAAATGGATCGACAACCCTTTTGAGGTCCAACTAGACATTGTCTCCAAACGTCTCAGGGATCATCCAGGTGTTTTCTGTCCAAACTGAGACGAGCCTTTATGTTCCTTTTGGTCTGCAGTGATTTTCTCCTTGAACTCTGCCATGGAGGCCATTTTTGCCCAGTTTCTTTCCCATTGCTGAATCATGAACTTAACTGAGACGTGAACCCTGCAGGTCTTTTAAGTTGTTCTGGGTTCTTCTGTGACCTCCTGGATGAGTCATTGAGGTACTCTTGGAGTAATTTTGGTCTAAACAGGATAATGTGCACAGGGTTAAAGTGGGTTCGGCAGGTGGAGGAACCCTAAAATCAGCTGTAAGGTCTCAGTGTGGGTAAAAGAATCAAACTCTCAAACTCAATAATTTCTATTGAGCACTCCAGTAGATGTTCTTAGTGTACAGGCTGTGATCAGCTGACCTGCTGCTCTTCGTGCTTGCACACACCAGATGTAAAAAAAAATGTTTCATAAGTTGTCCTGGTTGATTCCATCCTCTACACTGACAGAGCACTGTTAATGCTGTCTGATTTCTAGATGGTATAAAGTTGGTATGAAGGTGAATTTAAGTCAATTAATCTCTGCAACACTTGATGTAAGCTAACTGTGACCATGAACCCACAACCACTGTGCAGCAGTCACACACTGTTCTTTACATTAAACCCAACACAGTGCAGCAAACTAACCCGTTTATTCTGCACAAACCTGCAGAGACAAACATACAAAAAAAATCTGAAATCAGGAAGGAGCTCAAACACTTTTTCACACTGTTTATTTGGTTTTACTGATGTTAACACAGTTGCTGATGTTAAAATTTTCTAATTTCTTTAAACAGAGTCAGGGGAACCACAAAAGAAGAATACAAAAGAGAAACCAGAGCTCAGGATGGTGCTTGTTGGAAAAACTGGATCTGGAAAAAGTGCATCAGGAAACACCATCTTAAGAAGAGAGGGCGCTTTTGAATCTAGATCATCTTCAAGCTCGGTAACTTCAGTGTGTCAAAAGGAAACAGGAGAGTTTGAAGGTCAAAAACTGGCTGTGGTCGATACACCCGGTCTGTTTGATAATGTTAAAACTGAAGAGGGAATGAAAACAGAGATCAGGAGAATCATCTCCTTTGCTGCTCCTGGTCCTCACATGTTCCTGGTTGTGATCTGTGTGGGCAGATTTACAGACGAACAACGAGAAACAGTGAGAATCCTTCAGCAGATGTTTGGAGTATACTTAGCACACTACACCATGGCCTTGTTCACACGTGGAGATGACCTGGAGCATGGTGGAGTCACCATAGAACAATTCATCAGGGAAAATCCAGCTCTCCAAGACTTCATCCATCAGTGTGGAGGAGGATATCATGTTTTTAACAACCGAGATGATGACAATCCCTCTCAGGTCAGAGAGCTGCTGAGGAAGATCAACACTATGGTTCAGGGAAACGAACAAAGCTGCTACACCAATGAGATGTTCGGAGAGGCTAAGGAGTCCATGAGAAAAGCTGAAAAAGACTTCAGGATTGTTGTTGTTGGGAAAACTGGAGCTGGGAAGAGTTCATCGGGAAACACCATCCTGGGAGGAAAAGCCTTTAAAACAGCATCTGCTTCATCCCCTGCCTCAGTGACGTCAAAGTGTCAGCAGGAAGCAGCTCTGTTTGATTTTCAAACCCTGGCTGTCGTTGATACTCCAGGCCTGTTTCACTCTGCGTTTACCTTAGGCAAGGTGAACACGGAGATCAATAGATGCATCTCACTGGCTGCTCCTGGTCCTCATGTGTTCCTGGTTGTGATCCAGCCAAACATATTTATAGATGAAGAACAAAAAACCCTGAGAATCCTTCAGGAGGTGTTTGGAGATGAAGCCGTTCATTACACCATGGTGTTGTTCACACATGTAGATTTGAATGTATGCATGGAAGAATTCATCACTAAGACTCCAGCTCTTCGTGAATTCATCTGTCAGTGTGGAGGACGATATCATGTTTTTAACAACAATAGCAGAGATCCTGCTCAGGTGAGAGAGCTGCTGGAGAAGATCAGACTAATGGTTCAGAGAAATGGAGGAAGCTACTACACCAACAAGATGTTTGAAAAGGCAGAGAGCGCTATAACCAAAGAGATGGAACAACTTCAGAAGAAAAACCCTGGGCTGATGGCCACTGAAGCAAGATATGAAGCAGAGAGAAAAAACAAGTTTATCCGGGGCAGCTGGGTTGGTGCTGTTGCTGGAGCTGCTGCTGGACTCGGTGCTGGAGCTACTGCTGCAGTCAGTACTGCGATTGCGACCGAGCTTGCTGTTGGAGCTATTGTGGGAGCTGCAGTTTGTCCAGTAGGAGTGCTGGTTGGAGCTGGACTGGGTGTGGCAGCTGGAGCTGCACTGGATCGTACTACTGCTGCTAAAGTGAGGAAGCAGGCGTGTACTACACAGTGACAAATACTCACTCAGCAGCAGCTCGTTCACATCATCAAGTCAATATTGGGCGATCGTGGCTCAAGAGTTGGCAGTTCGCCTTGTAATCAGAAGGTTGCCGGTTCCAGCCCCGGCTTGGACAGTCTCGGTCGTTGTGTCCTTGGGCAAGACACTTCACCCGTTGCCTGGTGGCGGTCAGAGGGCCCGGTGGCGCCAGTGTCCAGCAGCCTCGGCTCTGTCAGTGCGCCCCAGGGCAGCTGTGGCTACAATGTAGCTTGCCATCACCAGTGTGTGAATGGGTGGATGACTGGTTGTGTAAAGCACTATATAAACACAGGCCATTTACCATATTCACAAGTCCTTCTCATTATTCTCATTTTTATTATCTTATTTACTTTTCATTGGATTGAATTAAAACGAATTATTAATTATTGATCATGTTAGTTGTTGGAGTGATATTTTTATGATTGTCAGTTGTACTTAGAAACATAGCATCAATAATGTTTAGATGTATATAATCGATTGCATATTGATATATCTATATATAGATATAGATATATATAGATATATATAGATAGATAGATAGATATAGATATATATCTATATCTATATATCTATATCTATCTATATATCTATATCTGTCTATCTATATTTTTATTTTTATTTTTTTTGAAAATAAATACTTGATGATTTTCTTTCTATCATAGTTTAGACTAAGCAAATGCTTGTTTCCTTAGCACAGAGCTGCTGGAGCTTCTATTTACCCTCAGAGTGACTTATCTGATTTAAAATTTCATCCAAAGGAGGGCTGCTACGTCACAAACTATTTCAGCGAGTAAACCTGTGAAATCTGTGCACGAAAGCTCACCTGTTCTGTGTCAAGAAGACCACTAAACAAGACTTTACCATTAGATTCTGGCCACAGGTTTTGGGACCAGTACTAAAATTACACTGGTTTATTGGAAGCCCCCATGGCTGGGTTATGAACTAGCAAAAATAATAGCGTATAGTAAAAGAATAAATAGTGGTACGTAGCATCATTACACCTTTTGATTAACACCATGGACTGCAATCAGAATACCTGGTGGTATTTTCATCCTGCTCTCAGGAAATGGCATTAACTAAGTTTGTGATATAAACTCACCCAGATTTATCTTTCCTAAAGTAACATAAAGACAAGTAATGTCAGAAATCACAGAATAAAAGGGCTGACTGGACCGGTTACATATAACAAGCACAGTCATTTGCAGAACTGGAAATTGAACAACTGTTTACATTGGGAAAGCTTCTACATATATCGACACATTCAAATTGACTGATTGTACTTTAATGCTGTGATGTGGAAAACACTAATACAATAACAGCATTTGGTCATGCTGCTATCACTGATGCCTCAAACACATTTGACAGCTTCTAAATTAAGCTTACCAACATTATTTTATTTATTTTTTTATTAGTCCTTTATTTATGCAGGTAAAAATCTTATTGAGATTAAAAATCTCCTTTCCAAGAGAGACCTGGCAGTATTATTGTGAGTTATGACCCACATGCTGAGTGGTGCACTGCATCAAAAGTAAATCCTGTTACATCATGAAAAGAACAAAAACAAAAGAGGACAATTCAACAAAGTACGAAAAACACTTTTATTATCAGCAGGGTGTATAAAACCGTTCATTGTGAAAGGTAATTCCAGTTTAGGTTAAGTTTATGTACTGAAATGAAGGATGAGCATATATTACACCTGTCATTATGAGACACCATCAAATCACTCCAGCAGAGAGACCTCATGGAAGTACGCTCCCAGCAGCTTGACTCCCTGAATGTAGTTTGATCTGAAAATGGAGAAATAAAGCTATGACAACGGTTTATAATTAAAAAACTCACTTTACCTGTCATTAAGTTCAGCACAGAAATAATCTGGAGATGACAAACATGATCCTCTTCTTTTACTGCAATATTTCATCCGTTTTATCAATAGTTCCTACTTGTTCCACATTTCAAAAGAAGGGAAACGGTGTGAGCTGTGACCAACCTGTTGATCTTTTCATTCTGAGAGTGAGCTCCATCATCAGAGGACCCTACAGGAAGCAGCATGACATTACGGCCTGTGGCCTCCTGGAAGGTCAGGGTGACCGGGATGCTGCCGCCCTCGCGAGTCAGATCAGGCTCGACCCCGAAGACTACAGCACAACGAGGAGGAGAAAACAATGCAAAAAGCAATAACAATTTTAATAATAATAATAACAAAAATAATGATGATACTAATATTTTTGTTGTCACATCAAAACTGGGTGTAATCCTATCAGTGAAAATACGTGAAAAACGTCCACAAAAATATGCATATAACAGAAAAGCTTATAAAGATATTTCATTGGTCTAGGGGGAGGGGCCACTGGCCCGAGGACTTATGGACTTTGCTGTATAGCTGATGTTAACGTGTTCTAAGTTTTAGTGTTATAACAGCAGTTAGAGTTATCAGGTGTTGATTCACCATTTTTGTGTTAGTGTGTAACATCAATGCTGCTGTGTGTTCTGTGTTTGGTGTGGCTAACGGAGCACCGTGAGTTAGATGGCTGTGCCCGTTTACCACCTCTCACTGCTGCGGTGTGTGAATGAGCGTTCATAATAAAAGGCTGTCCTCCCTGTAGCTTAGCATTTCGGCTAAGGCAGGAATAGCAGGTCTCTGTCTCCTCCTTGTCTGAGCTCGCCACAATATGTACAAGGCTTTTGGATAATAAATTTGCTTGTCTTTGTTTTTAATGTCCTGAAACATCTGCCCGAGGACAGGAGCTGAAACATGACAAAATATTTGATTTCTCTTAAAGAAAAAGTATCAACATGTAAACTGTAATAAAGTCAGTTGTATTATAGCAGGAGAAAGTGTTTTACACTTTTGTGATACAATAAACACAGAACTGATTTCGACTTTGTATCAAGATAACAGAAATGGGTGAGATTGAGTGAACTCCCTCTCTGATCTAACAGCTTTTATCATTAAGTCCTTGTACCTGTCTTCATGGCCTTTCTCCCTGCCATGTAGTGTGGGTGGTTGAAGTCTGAGACCCAGGCCTTTGCCCCATGGCCCATGTTCACTTTCAGTTTATTGGGGGTTCCCAGTTCAGCAAACTTCTTCTGCAGATGATCGACGACCTTGAAGAGGGGAAGATAACTTGTTGGAGCTTTTATGCAAAAACAACCTGGTGCTCGCTATGTGTGCAAAGGGTTGAACTATATTAGGTGAGGCAAAAGAAACTGACTTCAATGGTTGGTTTTTCTAATTTTATGCAGGTATATTCTAATTCCTGTGTATTTTATGACCTGTGACATTGGTTTTCTGTCTAAATAAAGTTACCTTCATTCACATTAAATCACTCCAGTTTTCTTTACTTCATAATATAATATATTTATAATATTTCTCATTTTCATACATTGCAATTTCTTTTACACACTTCTTTAAAAAACAATGCATGGCTGAGCAAATCATCTGAGCAACAAACTACCAATAAGTGGCAGAGATACAGAGATACATCGTAACTACTTGCTTATAAAAAGATGACTTGGGTTAGGTGAGTGCTATATGCCATCACAGTGTTTACCTGCTTCTCCACAACTTTGGGGTCCATGTCAGGCACAAGGCGGATGGAAAACTTGCCGATGACCTTGCGAGGAATAACCGTCTTGGCTCCTGCTTCAGAGAAAGCCCCCTCAATACCATGAAGGGAAAGAGAAGGATATCTCCAACGGTGCATGAGGATTTGCTCCTACGGTGGAAGAAATAAAGAAAAATTGGTTCAAAAAGTGTGAATGACCCCAAATCATACAGCACATTTCCACCAATGAGTGATGTGAACAACATAAATAATTTCTTTGCCTTTGTGTCATGCAGCAGCCGGCAAACCCCCACATCTTTACAGTACTCATCCAAGTCAAAGTCGATCTTCTCGTACAGCTTTTGCTCCTCTGCTGTCAGAGGCGCCACACTGTCATAGATCCCAGGAACCAAAATCTTACCCCTTTTGTCAACCAGGGAGCCTGCGCAGGAAGTCACAAACACATGATTAAAACTCTAAACTGCTGTAAAATAAGGTCGGTGAGACTAAAAATCACAATTATCAGCTTCACTTGCCCATAAGTGCGATGAGGTCGGTCATGGCCTCATGAACAGAGCCACCAAACACCCCTGAGTGCAAGTCCTTTCCACCACACTCCACCTTGAGGTTGGAACGTAAAACATTATTTTAAAATACACAGCTTGTGTCTCTCCCCATCAACAATAATCCAACAGGACTTCACCTCAATGAAGAAATAGCAGATTCCTCTCAGGCCGTAGGTGATGCAGGGTTTGTTCTTGCCCAGCCAGTAGTTGTCAGAGATGCAGACGTAGTCCACGTCTTTAAAGAAAGTGTCCTTTCTAGAAAACACAAGATCATCCAGACCTTCAGATCCAGATTCTTCCATCCCCTCGAAGCAGAATTTGATGTTGATGGGAAGGTCCTGCAACAAGAAGAGAGATACATAAGAAAGAAAGAAAAAATCAGCAGACTAAAATTTGGTCACTGGTTCAAGTTTAAATTCAGGCTCATTGTGAATCTGTTTTTCTCATTTTCTAAAGATAAAACAGTTGAGTAATCTCATATTTTTAATTTGGACTCCCTGCACATGCTGACTGTTGATCTTTTATCTCCAGCCTTTGCTACGCGTGAACTTTCCTTTATCGCTTTAAAGTACAGTACAGTACAATTCAGGAAAAAGCAAAGACGATGTGCTTCAGTTTAAACTGTTAGGTTTATATTGTTGATTGTCATTTATGCTTAGAAATATTTAACCATATATGCTTAGAGGTGTATAATCAATTGTGTAGTGATAGGATGTGTGATCCTTAGGAGTCTGCAAAGTGTTCTGAGTGTTCTGGCATTCACACCCACATCCTGGGAGCATGGGA